AGAAATAACTCTTCCTCATTTTCCCCCACATTACCCACGAAACTTTCTCATTTTTAAATCATCTCTTTTTCTCCATCTCCTTCTTCTTCTTCTTCTTGTCCTCTCCTCTCCTCTTCTACCCATCTTTTTTTTTTCTCTTCCTTGACAAATGCTTAACGTAAACGCGCAATTTGCATAACACGAGTTTAATGAAAGTGAATTTTAAGCTTATTCAACCTCCCCCCCCCCCCCCCGCCAAAAAAAAAAAAAAAAAAAAAAAAAAAAGGTTTTACTTATTGGCCCCAAAAGCGTGTATCAACAAAGTGTCTTTCTCACACGCTGACAGTAATGGAGAGAAAGAAAGAAAGAAAAAGAAAAAAAAAAACTTATTTTTGGCTGCAGTGACGTATTTTGGCGATGCTGAGTGAAGGAGGAGGAGAAGGAGGGAGAAGAGAGAAGATGGGGAAATGGAAAGACAAGGACAGATTGATAAACGGATAGACACACAGACAGAGAGACAGATAGATAGACAGATAGACAGACAGATAGACACACAGACAAAGAGACAAGTAGATAGAGAGCACAGACAGAGAGACAGATAGACAGATAGACGCATAGACAAACTGACAGATAGATAGATAGATAGACAAATAGGCACGCAAACAGATAGACAGATAGATAGACAGATAGATAGGAATATAAACACACAGACAGATAGACAGATACGTAGACACAGACACATAGGCAGAGAGAAAAACAGACATAAAGATAAATAGAGAGAAAGATAGACAGGTAACTAGACAGATACAAATAAAGACAGGAAAACAGACATATGAATGCACAGACACTCACTGAGCAACAGACAAGCAGACAGACACAGATAAACACACAGGTAGACAGATAATGAAAAACAGACAGATTGACAGACAGATCACAGACAGACAGAAATATATGGATAGACAGATACATGAAATAGACAAACAGAAATATATATAGACACACAGACAAATACATAAAAAAGACAAACAGAAATATATATAGATAAACAGACAAATACATAAAAAAGATAGACAGAAATATAGATAAACAGACAAATACATAAAAAACAGACAGACATAAAGATATATAAATACACAGACAAATACACAGACACACATACAAACAAACAAACAGACAGACATAAAGATATATAAATACACAAACAAATACACAGACACACATACAAACAAACAGACAGACAGAAAGAAAGATAAACAGAGCGAGCAACGAAATCAACTTAAAGAAGAAGAGAGGTGGGGTAAGTGGTTAATTCGAGGGAAGGTGGGCGAACGAGGGAAGAGGGAGAGAGAGGGATAAAGAGGGAGAAAGAGAGAGAGGGGAGAAAGAGGGGAAGAGGGAGTGTCTAAGTACAGTACTTAAGATGCCACACCAAAACCACTCGCGTCTTCGCCAACGTAAACCATTTCACTCTTTCCTATCTCTCCGCTTCTTCTTCTTCGTCTTCTTATTTTTTCTTTCTTCTTTTTCTTCGTCTTTTTCTTCTTCTTGTTCTTTTTTTTTCTTCTTCTTCGTCTTTTTCTTCTTCTTCTTTTTTCTTTTTCTTCCTCCTCTTGTTCTTCCTCTTCCTCTTCCTGTTCTTCCTCTTCTTCTTCTTCTTCCTATTGTTATTATTCCTTTTCTACTGCCTCTTCTCTCCTTCTTCTTCTTCCTTCTCTCCTCCTTCCTTTTCTCCTCTTCTTCCTCTTCTCTTCTTCTTCCTATTTTTCCTTTTTTCTTCTTCTTCTTTTCCTTTCTTCTTCTTCTTTTTCATCCTCTTTCATATTTGTTTTCCTTCATTTATCGTTTTTCTTTCTGCGATTATTGTTTCTTCCTTGTCCTCTTTTCCCTTCTTCTCCTCATCCTCTTTCCTCCTCTTCCCCTCTCCCGATCTTCTTCTCTTCCCCTCTTCTTCTCTTCCTCTTTCCCCCTCTCCCCACCTTTTCCTTCCTCTCCTTCCTCCTCCTCTTCCTCTCTTCCTCTCCCCTCCCCCCCTCCCTCTCTCTTACCGCACATCAGTTTCGATTTCCATCCCATTCCCCTCCCCCCCCTTTTCCCCCCCCCCCCTTTTTCCCCTCCCCCCCATTTTTTTCCCCTTCCTCTCAATTCATCATTATTCCCACATTCCCTCCCCCCCCCTCCCCCACCCCCACCCCCCAATTACTTCCCCAACCCGCCCATATCGCCACCCTCGTTAGCGGGTCCAAAAAAACCGTGAAAAACCACAACTATCTCAATTATCGATTTTTTCCCCTCCTCCCCTCCCTCCTCCCTCCTCCCTCCCTCCCTCCCCCCCTACCCTCCTTCCTCCCTCCCTTCCTCCCTCCCTCCCTGATCCTTCCTCCTTCCCTCCCTGACCCTCCCTCCTCAAAAACCCTTCACCTACCCCTTCTCCCTCCCTCCCTCCCTCCTTCCCTCCCTGATCCTCTTCCCTCCCTCCTCCCTCCCCAAAACCCTCCACCCGCCCCTTCTCCCTCCCTCCCTCCCTCCTTCCCTCCCTGATCCTTCATCCCTCCCTCCCTCCTCCCTCCCCAAAACCCTCCACCCGCCCCTTCTCCCTCCCTTCCCTTCCTCCTTCCCTCCCTCCTTCCCTCCTCTTCCCTCCCTCCCCTCGCTCCTTCCCTCCCTCCCTCTCTAAAACCCTCCCTCCATACACCTGCCCCTCATCCCTTCCTCCCTCCATCCCTCCCTCTCTCTACCCACCCTCCACCCGCCCTTCCCCCCCTGCCTTCCCTCCCCTCTTCTCCCCTTCCCCTTCTTCTTCCCTCCCCCTCTTCTCCTATCTTTATCACTTCTCCATCATCATCATCTTCGCAATCTTCAACGCTGTCCATCATCGCAATATTAGTGTATCAACACTTTTTTCTTTCTTCCTTTTTCTTTTTCTACTTTTTTAATGTCAAGGCGATAACGAAATAATAAGAAGAGGAGAGAAAGAGAAGGAGAAGTAGAAGAAGAAGAAGGAGAAGGAGAAGGAGAAGGAGAAGGAGAAGGAGAAGGAGAAGGAGAAGGAGAAGGAGAAGGAGAAGGAGAAGAGAAGGAGAAGGAAGAAGGAGAAAGAAGGAGAAGGAGAAGGAGAAGGAGAAGAAGAAGAAGAAGAAGAAGAAGAAGAAAGAAAGAAGAAGAAAGAAGAAGAAGAAGAAGAAAAAAAGAAGAAAAAAAAAATAAGAAGAAGAACAAAACAAAATAGAAAAAGTAGAAAAGAAGAAGAAGAAGAAAATGAGAATAAGAATAAAACAAATTATAAGAGAATAATAATAATAATAATTAAAAATATATAAGAAGAAGTAAAGAAAGAAAAAGAAGAAGAAAACAAATTCTAAGAAGAAGAAAAGAATAAGAAAAACAAGTGGCGTCTTGAAGAAAGCGAGTGGTGACCCCCGGGGCATTGTTTTGACTCTCATATCTTATCTCATCTTATCTTGAGGTTATTGTTTTTGTCTTTCTTTTTGTCTCCTTGTTCTCCTTCTCTCTCTGTTTCTCTGTTTGTCTAGGTGTGTCTTTCTGTCCCTCTCTCTCTCTCTCTGTCTCTGTCTCTGTCTCTGTCTCTCTGTCTCTGTCTCTCTCTCTCTCTCTCTCTCTCTCTCTCTCTTTCTCTCTTTTACATGTATGTATGTATGTATGTATATATTCATGTGTGTTTGTATGTATATATCTTTCTCTCCCTCTCTCCCACCCTCAGTTTCCCCTTCCCTTTCTCTCCTTTCCCCTCTCTTTCTCTCTCTCTCCTCCTCTAATCCCTTCCTTTTCTTAATCCCATCCTCCTTCCCTCCCCTCCCTCCCTTCCCCACCCTCCCCTCCACCCTCCTCCCACCCTCCCACCCCCGTCCTACCCTCTTAATCCCCGCCTCTCTTCCTCTCCTTCTTTCTCCTTCTCCTTGGCCCTATTACCTTATTCCGAATAATGATATTACTCACCCTTGTTGCTACTGGTTCTGGAGAGGCATGGTAATCTACCAGAGTTGGGGTGATAAGGGTGCTTTTAGCTGAGCAAAGTGTGGGGTTTATTTTGTTTTAATTTTTTGTGGTTGTTTTCTTGGTTTTGTGGTATTTTTATTCTTGTTTTTTCTTGTATTTCTTGTTTTTTCTTGTATTTTTTGTTGTTTTCTTGGTTTTATGTTATTTTTATTCTTGTTTTTGTTATTTTTTGTTTGATTTTTTGTTTTTATGTTTTCTTTTTGTTTTTCTTGTATTTGTGGTTGTTTTCCTGTTTTTATGTTATTTTTTTCTTGTTTTTTGGATTTTTTGTTGTTTTCTT